ATCTATTTAGGGGGGTCTGTGAGGTTGGGGGCTTAGGTTTACTACTTTTCATCTCGCTGGCTCCTAGTAGGGAATGGAAAAGCAAGCGGAAACTGCGATGGAAACTAGGGGTTTCAAAAGGACATTGGCTGGAACTCATGGGGAGTATAGGAGGGTTACTGTAGGAATCGTTTCTTCCGTTCCCTACTGATACCCAGGAAGTCATGTTGAGTGCTGTAATATCCCTAAGGGTCCAAGTACCTAATAATCATATACTGTCCCAAAACCTGTCCTACAGTTACTATTACCCCAAACCCAAGTACCTAATTATTGGGTACATGGACTCTAAACCTTAAACCCTATATACCCCTATATATCCCTATATATCCCCTTTAAAGGGACCTAATCATTGGGTACATGGACCCTCTGGGTATCAGCTTCTTTATCAGAACGTCATCCCTGGCCCTCGCTACCGTCCCAGTCCGTTTTGGCATCAGGTGCCCCGACGGGAACAGATCTTGCCAGGGTTTACCTGGACCTTTACGGCGCATACCTTTTCAGGACAGCATTCCCTGCTTGTATTCCCTAAGGGTCCAAGGGCTCAACTAAGGGGGCTTCAGGGTCCAAATACCATAGCCTGAATGGTATTTGGGACCTGAAACCCTGATAATTGGGCCCTCGGACCCTCAGGGACTGCTAAGCGTATGTTCTGGACACACGGGTTGTGTAGGGTCAGGTAGAACATGTAGCTGGTGCTGGACAGAGCTTCAAACTGATGTCCCTCTCACAAGCAAGGACTTACTAATCTAAAGCAGGCTCTATATCCTACCTTACCCAAGGGAAATGTAGGGCTCATGAGTGGCATCATGGGGGGTCGCCCTTTTGACTCGATAGGGAATATCTTAAATCTTGGAAACTTTTGCATCCCCCTGAGCCCCTGCAGCGCGACTGCTCAGCCCGAGCAACATGAACAAAACTAAATCTTCGAGTATAGGGGGCCTAACTGTCCCTTCATCATGGCTAGGAGTATTTGACTAAGGGCCTTCTCTCCCGAAAATGTCCTAGCTTCTACGTGCATTAGCCATGGGTCACCTTTATGGATTACAGTAGTCCCCCCCCCTCCCCCCCGAAAGGTACCCACCCCTTGGTTTCAGGAGCTAATAAGGACTATATAGGGCTTAAAAAGGCCTAATAGGGTTCTAAATCTGGGGGGGGGGGTACCTTTGGAAGGGGTACTGTTGTAATCCCTTACTGTGCTAACACACGCCGCCCGTTCTAGCCCCTCGAGCCACTATCACGGTTATAACCCTTTTGAAATCCTATAGGTTGGAGGCTGTGGTATGCAGGGGGTAAAAAACGATTACAAGTTTAACGCGTGTCACTCTTTCAAGTACGTACTAGTCAATCCTAAACCCTGAACTTTTCGAATTTTGATAACCAACCATAGCAAAACCCGAAGCTCTATATAACCTCCATGAACACTGTAAAACCCTAAATCCTAAACTCTAAGAGGCCCTGAACCCTATAAACCCTCTCAAAACCGGTCCTGCGCAAAGGTGACGTTCCGCTGGCCCTGTGCATCCCAAGACTCTCATTGCTTGCTTGGAGGGTCAGGGGGCCTTAATTAGTGGGTTTAGGGTTTAGGGTTTTGGGGTGATACTGGAAAAGAAAACGGAAACTACTATATGATGAAGGGTTTAGCGCTTAGGGTCTAGGGCTTCGGGCCAGGGGACGTGATAGGTAGCTTGATAAGGAGGATAAATAGGGCTACTATATGGGTTATACGGCTATGGCTGTAGGCTCCCTTGTGTTGTCAAGCTTGTTTGGCCTTTCGATTTACAGGCTCAGGAGACTTAGGAGGTTTAGGGTTTAGGGGTGATACTGGAAAAGAAAATGAAAACTACTACTATATCCTTAAGGGTTTATTGTTTAGGAATGATACTGGAAAAGAAAATGGAAACCAATATATCATTAAGGGTTTAGGGTTTAGGGTCTAGGGCTTCGGGCCAGGGGACGTGATAGGTAGCTTGATAGGGAGGATAACTAGGGCTAGTGTATGGATTACAGGGGTTATTAACCTGCTACGGCTGTGGGCTCCCTTGTGTTGTCAAGCTTGTTTGTCCGTCCGATTTACAGGCTCAGGAGACTTAGGAGGTTTAGGGTTTAGGGTTTGTAGATAGCTTATAGCTGGGGTTATAGGAAGTCCAACCCCAATTAAGGGACTCATGAGGAAATGAAAGCCAATTTAATTGCGCCATTCCCTGAGCCTTCAAGCCACCCAAAATCTGGGGTTTAGGGTTTAGGGCTATATACCTGAACCCAAGAAGTAGATAGAATAATAGCCCAAAAGACCTAAATACAGCCCAACAGGCCATTATTCTACATACTTTTGGGGTTTGCGAAATTTAGAAACCCTGCGGCAGGCAAGCCTCGCACCCATCTCATCACAGCTTTCAAGCGCGCATGGACATCTTGGCCAACACTGTCACCCCGCAGTTTAGGGTTTAGGGACCGTAAACACACAGCCCAGGCTTCAAACAGAATTGGAACTCTACAGGAAGGCATTGTAAGCCGTGGCTTCAGGAGGGCGCCATCAAAGTCAACAGTCTTTGCTCCAGCTTTAACTCTGCTGTTCATTTGAGAGGTGTGCAAGTTGCGTGGGCGTGTTGAGTAGTATTAGGGCTACCAATCATAGCATGCCACATCGCAACAAACACGTGGCAGCAACAATCGGGCCAAACGTGTGTGAACTACCCATGCGTGGCAAAACTAAACCCTAAACCCTAAACCCTAACTGTGGAATCCCTGGGTCCCTGGGTCTGGCCTCCGACTCATCATCGTCATCAGGCAGGTCAGTTGTGCGAACATAGCCTGTACCTGGAGTGTCATGAAGCCTTTTTCTGGTTGGGGCTTAGGGTTTAGGATTTGGTTGGGATCTTAGAAGTCTCCAGAACGTGATAGCTTGGGGGTGACGAAGGGATTGAGGCACACAAGTACTTTCATTTTTCCATTCTCATGTAATGTCCATCTTTTCCATTCTTATATTTCCCTCTATTACCGCGATATGAGCTATAGTCTAAAACTCCTAGTATCCCCCTTACTAAGCCCTATAATAGTCCCTTATAGATTTCCCCTATATAGCTCTCTTGGAGGAGTTAAGACTATAGCTCATATAACCCATATATAATGCCCAAGAGAATCCTCGAAATGCTTGATTAGCCTGACAGCTCCCACACTGAACACAGCAGAGAATTTACGTGATTTGGGCTGTTATTGTACCTACTTTTGGGATTCAGGAAACCCTTTGAGGGCTCGGAACAACAACCACAACGTGGATCCCATGATCTCCTAGGGAGTACATTCTAGTGGTAGTAGCCAGAGAAACTTACAAAGGGATAATGGACAAGAACATGGAAGCTACTATTCAGGGTTTAGGGTATAGGTTGGGTACTCCCCCCACCCTGTAGAGTCTATATTTAGGGGTCATAGCAAGGGCCATATAAGAATATATTCTTAATATTATCCAACTATTACAGAGTTGGGGCAGTACCTCAAGGTCTAGAGAGGAGACCGCAAGAGCAAAAACAAAGGTGACGTGAGATGCTCCCAAACTCACCCCCACCCTGGAGATCCAAGTTGTTAACGCCCAAACTCAGGGATTCATCTAGGAAATAGAACTTTGATTCAATGATGCCGGCCCTACAGTACCGCAGCCCCTGGAGGCCGAACCCTTAACTGACAAAGGTAGGGTTTATCTGCACCCAAAATTTTGAAGAGAAGTTTCTCAAAGCAGGGGCATTCTACAAAGAACAGGGATATTTGGGCATCAGGAGTTGGGCATGACGTCGTCTTAAGGACTGCGAGGTCCCCCCCACTTAGCATATGGGGCTTATGTAGTAGGAACTTCCATCATAATTCGGGTATGTATTCCCTAAACCCTAAACCCTGTTTGGTTACTTAGCCCTAAGGGTCCAAGTACGTAATAATCATATACTGTCCCAAAACCTGTCCTACAATTACTATTACCCAAAACCCAAGTACCTAATTATTGGATGCATGGACCCTCTGGGTTAGGACCTTTTGGCTAATCCAAGCACAGCCAGCAACCCGATGGCCTTTTCGCGGTGCTGACGGGGAAGATTCCTCTGCCAACGCATCGACTTCCTTAGCCAACATGGACTTGCTAAACCCTCAACCCTAAACAGCCAAAAAGCTACAAAAACTAATGCCCTGTGAAAGGAAGGCTTTACGTGTCCTATGTCAGCTTGCAGGAGGATGGGTAGGCATGGTAATCATGGGTTCCCTCTCTCTATCCTACCCCCGCCCCAGGTTCCCCCTTTAATGACGGATATCTAAGGACAATAAAAGCCTAACTCAAATTAATTAAGGGGGGATCAAGGGAGGGGAAATAGGGGGGAGGGGGGGTAGTAGAGGAACCCATGAATCAAGGAGAGTAGCAACAAGACATCGTGGATGTCTGGAGTACTTTCTGTTTTTACGCAAGACCCTTGAACCCTAAACCCTATGAACACTATGAACCCTAAACTCTATAAAGCCCAAACCATAAAAACCCTAAACAACCCAAAAGCCTAATCCGGTACTAATCCAAAAATTTAGCGTGGAATCCTGAGGCCCATGGTTAGGATGTAGGGTTCAGGGTTTAGAGTAGAGTTCAGGGCTTAGGGTAGGGTTAAGAGCTTAGGGCTTTGGGGCCTATAGGGTTTATGAGGGTTTGGGGTGCAATGAGAGAATGGCCCTAGAGGGTTTAGGCTTCAGGATTTAGAGTACCATGCTATGATACGCCCTAGGGTTTAAGACTTAAATCTTACCCCCCCGCCCTCATGGTAAACCAGATGAAGAACAGCACGGATGATGGTGTGGGACTCGGGCTATAATATCTAGGATGTATCTTCCGTAAGACAGGGACCTGGGTAAACCCAACGGACACTATGACTGTCGAGTACTCTTCTAGAGTTGCCATGATTATGGGCTGGGGGCCGTGTAAGATCTAAGTCCCCTGCCGGCGAGAAATGAACAGCGCGATCTTCCTGTCAATGGTTGACAGCAACCTGTAAGCCCTACATAGGCCCTAAACCCCGAAACACTGATCCCTGGCAATTAGTTGTGCACGTGATTTACGCTCAATGCCCAGCTAGAAGAGCTGGTACTTAAGTCAATTGAGACGAAGTAATTATCTGGGTACTAGGGGCCTTGCCCCACAGCCCTGGAAACAGCTGCCGCAAGATTTACAGTACCCCTTAAATAGATAGAATATGGCTATGGGTATCTTATAATAAGATCCACATGTACCCCATATTCTATCTATAAACCCTACACCCTAAACGCTAAATAATAGTTTCCATTTTCTTTTCCATTATCCCTATATAACCCCTATAAACATCTTCAAGGGGACATAGGGTTCTATCTACTTAAGGGGGACTACAACCTTCAAGGTGTTGCCCAGGTCACAGCTGCCCCGGAAGAACACCCGAAGTATCCGATAGGATCTTAGACTACCCCACATATGCCCACCCGAACTCACCCCAAGATGCAAATGAGTAGCGTTTTTTTGGCGGTTAAACCCAGAAAGATGTTAGTCCTTATATAAAATACTATAGCCCAAAAGGAGGATATGATCTTACTCTATAATGCGTACCAGAAAATCCCCAAATGAAATACTACATAAATAAGGCCCAACCAAGGGTGACGTAAAGGCTTATTTCTTATTCCTGATTCCCTTGATTGGGGCTTCTGGCTGTAAGTGGGGGCAATACAGGAACCTATGGTGTATCCATGTGAATGCCATCCATCAAGTTATAATCCCTGCCCCCAGAGGGTCTAGAGAGTGAGCAAAGCCCCAAACCCGAAACACTATGCGACAATCCTCTGAATCCTCATCGTCATCCGGCAAGTCTGTCATCTTCACGAAGCCTGTGCCTGGAACAGTGAAGGTTTCGTACTGCAGTACTCATGTAGTCTGATGCACGGAGGTGCCACGCAGTATTGCACGTGCGAATCATAGCATAAATCCCAAAAGGGTCTATATGTAGTCATGCAGTATACGTCGGACCTCGAAATAAATATGATGATGTGGGGATCTCTTTGAGCGTCAATATGCCTACATGGGCGCCCGGGAACATGTCTATAGTTCAGAACTGCTATGATACTACGATGGGGCACAGTTGTAGGCAGCTTAAAAAGCTTAAACCCTAAATCCTCACACCAAGAGCTCTTAAGGCCGATGTTTCCTCGTAAGTGACGCTCTGCTTTCCGTTGAGGAACTTTAGCTCAGCCACCCCGGTAGGGTTTAGGGTTTAGGGTAACAAGAGTTCATTAGGGAAACCATGTAATTCTTTGCCTATCCTTCTGATGGTAACTTAAGTCAGGTTCCTAAATCCGAAGGGTCATTTAGCTATTTCTCATTTACCATGGCCCTCAAATAGTTAATAATAGTTATATGGGAACCCCCGTTGAGCCCTAAATATGTACTGTATATCGACATGGACCCTTGAGGCATGTGGGTAGCAGCCCTAAACCCTAAACTCTGAACACTAAATCCTAAACCCTAAATCCTAAACCTAAAGCCCGAATCCTAAACGCTAGAGCCTTTTTCAAGCCCCACCTTTCCGACAGACGGGAGATTCTGCTTCTTCGCGCTCTGCTGGGTCTCCCCCATCGACATCCTGGGGTTGGATCTAGTAGGGTTTCGGGTTCAGGGGTTGAGGGTCTAGGTGAATCCCAAGAGTATGTAGAATAATGGCCTCTTGGGCTATTTCTAAATCTTTTGGGCTACTATTTTACCTACTTTTGGGGTCCAGGGAGGGGGTTTACAGCTTATGGTCTTGCACTATAAACCCTAAACCCTAAATAGTAATTTCCATTTTCTTTTCCATTATCCCTATACAACCCCTATAAACCTCTTCAAGGGGACCCAGGGTTCTATCTACTTAAGGGGGACTATACTTGGACACGTTGCGCTACTCGTAGAGGAAGATCTGATGGCGGATGCCGCCCCAGGTGATGAGGGGCAGCTCCCCCTAAGCCCCCCTTAAGTCCCCCCTTAAGGCCCCTCTTAAGCCGCTTAACCCCCCCTTAAGCTGCTGTTGGGGCTTAGGGTTTTGGGGTGCGAGGCAATCTTATGAAGAACCGCAAAGCATGTCCCATGACGTACGCCCTGACGTATGCATATTCCCCTGAATTTGCAACCATGATGTGTTTAGCCCTGACCATTGCCCCTTCGGCTTTTCGGAGCAACCCTACTAGTGTGAAGAACAGCTTCTATGTCTAAACCCGACAAGCCGTATAGTAGTTTCCATTTTCTTTTCCATTAGCCCAACATGACCCCAATATAACCCCTATAATCCCTAAACCCTAAACCCTAAACCCTATAATCCCAAAACCCGTGGGGAGGTAAGTGAAGTACTCTTTGGGCCCCAGCAGGCGAAAATGTCACGTTCTTTCCAGCCTGCCAGGGCAGAAGCCCTGAAAGCTCGACCGTCAACAGGAAAATGCGCAACTCCTATAATTAGGGTTATCTTGGGGTGACATTCTATTAACATGAATGTTCAACAGATGACTGATTCCGCACTTTTTGTTGGGATTTCAGGGAAGCTTCAGCAGTCCAGACAGTGTCCCACCTCAGAATCATCATCGTCATCTGGGATGTCGGCTGTTCTGACGAAACCTGTACCTGCTCGCACACGCAGTACGTTGTTGGTTTGTTAGCAGGGGCTGAGGCTCAAGGAATGAAAAAAAAGTACCTTATAAATCATTCGGGAACAGATAGGGCCTGTATACTACAGGGATGCAGTTCTGAGTCCCCTGCTCACAACCAGCGAGCTACACCTGGGGTAGCAACTGGCTAAAATAAACAAACCCGTCCTGCCTTTCCGACAGACTGGTTCCCCGTCTGTCTCCCCAAGGCCATCCACTTCCTGAAGCAGATGCGCTCTCCGGAAATCATCGCACCAATTGTCAAGGGCTGTGCTGAAGCAACTGGGTCGGCTGCTGGGGAGAAAGTCACGTTCTTGTCATCGGCCTGCCCGCAGGCACAGGACCCATATTCTGGATGATCTTCAATTTAAGCCTGCTAGTCGATTCATATCTCCTTATGCATGTAGTCCTTGTATGCATGCTCTTGGTTTGAGTGCGTGCCTCAGAATCGTCATCATCGTCGGGCAGATCTGCCGTTCTCACGAAGCCCGTGCCTGCAACATGGCCGGTCCGGCCCAGAATGCAGTGGGCTTGCCCTAGCCTGCTGGTCTCAAAAAAGTGGACAACCCCCCCACCTTTTCGACACACTGCTGAGCTGTCGCCCTCCATCTCAGCCAGCCCGTCAACTTCCTGAGCAAGAACTAGATCGGCTTCCAGATGCCCAGTGCGCCCGCTTGATGACTTGACAACTTGGGCTCAAGCTGGCGAAAACGTCACGTTCCTCTCCGCTGCCTGTGGCTACAGCCACTTGCAAGTTCTAGCGGCCTAGTGCTGCACAACCTAGGACTCTGATGGACCTGTGCAAAGCTGCCCCCTGCAATCACTGGCAGACCTCCGTGTCGTCATCTTCCGGCAAGTCTGCCGTTCTGACGAAACCAGTGCCTGCAAAACCACTTAGTTTCAACTATCTGTTGACATGAGGGGGACGCTACCACAAGCACATCTATCCCTGCAACTTGCTGCCTTTCCGACAGGCTGGTTCCCCGTCTGTCTCCCCAAGGCCATCCACTTCCTGAAGCAGATGCGCTTTCTGGAAATCATCGCGCAAGTTATTATCAGAGGCTGTGCTCTGTGCTTGCGCAGCATCTGTACTGCAGCAACTGGGTTGGCTGCTGGGGAGAAAGACACGTTCCTGTCATTGGCCTGCGCACAGGCACCCATACTCCAGATGTCTAGCTTAAGACTGCTAGTTGATTCATGTTGATTCACATCTCCCGTCATGTAGTCCTTCCATGCATACTCTTGGCTTGAGTTCGGGCCTCAGACTCGTCATCATCGTCGGGCAGATCTGCCGTTCTCACGAAGCCCGTGCCTGCAACGTGGCCGGTCCGGCCCAGAATGCAGTGGGCTTGCCCTAGCATGCTGGTCTCAAAAAAGTGGACAACCCCCCCACCTTTTCGACACACTGCT